CTGAATGCCAGAAGCCAACTTAATGATGTTTTTAGCTGTCATTGCACAACCAAGTAAAATATTGTTTGACTCCAGGCCTTCCCCTATAGCTAGTGCTCTGAATCAGACTTCCAGCCTCCTAAGCTATGAGAAAATACATTGTTCTTTAAAGCCACCCATTTGTGGTGTGTCTATTACAGTAGCACTACACCCACCTGTAGAAAGGGAGAAAATATTTACAAATCTTATATCTTATAGCAGTCTAGTATCCCACATGGACAATGAAGTTTTAAAACTCAGCAGCAAAAAGACAGCCCAATTTTTTAAATGGGCAAATAATTTATTTCCCTAAGAAGAAATATAGTGAAATAAGTACATGAAGAGATACACAATATCATTAGTCTTTGGTGTTGCTTAGTGTCCTGGAGTCCATTTTGAATTATAGCAACCCTATTAAGGTTTCCAAGTAGCAGTTGGTGGGTTTGAACAGCCAACCTTACTGGTTTTAGTCCATTGCTTATCCTACAGCATCACATCAAGACTCCACGTGAAAGAATCTTAATTCCTCTTTGATAATGTTTTTGTTGTTGAGGGCCGTCAAGTGAGTCCGACTTACCCTGTATAGGGTTTCCAAGGAGTAGATGGTGGGTTTGAACAGCCAACCTTGATGTTTTCAGTACAGTGGTTATTCTACACCACCACACCAGTACTCCAGTATAAATACTGTTGTTGTTGTTAAGTGCCGTCAAGTCGATTCTGACCCATAGCAACCCTGTATAGGGTTTCCAAGGAGCAGCTGGTGAGCTTGAACCGCCCTTCTTACAATTCAAACAGCTTTGCAGTCTGGCACATTAACCCACAGTGCTACAGAAGGACTCCATATAAATACCGTTGTTGTTGTTATGTGCCGTGGAGTCGGTTCTGACTCATAATGACCCTATACAGGGTTTCTGAGGCTGTAAATCTTTACGGGAGCAGAAAGCTTCATTTTTCTCCCGTGGAACAGCTGGTAGTTTTGAACTGCTGACCGTGAAATTTGCAGCCCGATTCGTAACCACTACACTACCAGAGCTCCTTATATAAATACTGTTGTTGTTGTTAAGTACCATGTAGTTGGTTCCGACTCATAGTGACCCTACACAGGGTTTCTAAGACTACAGATCTTTATGGGAGCAGACTGCCTCATCTTTCTGCCGCGGAACCACTGGTAGTTTCGAACTGCCGACCTTGAGGTTAGCAGCCCGATTTGTAACCACTATGCTACCAGAGCTCCTTCTAGGAAAATGCAAATCCAGCACCATAGTGAGATACCACTTCACACCAACCAGATAACTATTTTATTTATTTTTATATATATATTGGCAGAGGTGTGGTGAATGGATCACAAAATTGTAATATATCCGTACAAGGGAATGTTCAGCTATTTAAAAAAAAGAATCATTGATGCATGCTACAGTGGGGGTGAACCAAGAAAACAGTGTTGTAAGAGAAAGAAGCAGACAATGTTTTTTAAACGTGTAATTGCATTTATATGACATATTCAAGTTACAGACAGGAAGCAGATTGGCTCCAGGGACTGAATGGAGCAGGGAATAATTGCTTAGTGAGTACAGGGTTTCTTGTAGTGGTGATGGAAAAGTTTGGAACTAGAGGGAGGTGTAGTGGTTAACATCTCTTTAAACAAAGTTGGGAGTGCTGGTGTGGCACTGTGGGGTAAGTACTGGACCACTGATCATAAGGTCAGAGCTTCAAACCCACCAGTTGTTCCTCAGAAACTCTCTACAGGGCTCACTATGAGTTGGAATTAACACGACACTTAACAGCAGCAACACCACCAAACAAAGTTTAATGCTGATCTTGGTAGATCCTTGACTTATATTTTAAAATAGAGTCTTATTAAAAAGTACCTCCTTTCTTACTATATCAAGGAATGACATGATTACAGTGGAATATGAAGTTAAAACTCAGTTCTGTTGACTGAACACAATCATTTTTTTATACCTGTACAATAAGTCAGTCTCTCATAGTGGACAGGAAAGAAAAACCAAATTGGACTACCATGAACTAGTACTGATGACTATAAAGCAGACTTTGAAACTGATTCATTTCTCCTTTGTACAGTGTGGCAAGAAGGTATTTACATTATAATGATTTTTTTTCATACACAGTGGTTTCATTTGAAACATAATGTGTTTTCTGATCTGAAGATCTTGGAAGAAATTTTTCCTTTCTTCAGGACAAATATGAAGAACTTGGTGAATAAAGTCCTTTGGTGAAAGAAAACCAAAATGCCAGAAATTGAAGATAAAATTAATTTATTTTCCTAAATTTTAGTTTTTTCTAAGTTAATTTTTTTCTAGGAAGAATGGCCTTTTAAAAAATCATAAGCATAATTTACTAATGTACATGAGAAATTTGAATGTTAGATTAAATAGGATTTTTTCTTTTCTTTGAGCTGTTTGCCTAAGCCTTTTTTGTTTGTTTTTTTAAGTATGAGGCTAAATCAAAAAGTATTGCAGCAAAATCATAGCTTTCTTAAACAAAAATACTAATGTGAAGTAACTGTTTCTCAGCATATCCTCCATTTAGATCTATACACTTCTAAAGATGGTGTTTGCATCTCTCTAACCCTTCCCAGTTTTGGCATCCTCAAAGGTCATAAATCATGCATTGAAATGTTCTCTGAGTTCAGTAAACAAAAAAAACATCTGAAGGGGCATCATCAGGGTTATAGATAGAGTAGATGGGGTAAGGTTTCCCAGTGAAATTTTCATAGCCCTGTTACCCTCGAAGATTGAGCAGGTACAGTGTTATGAGGGAGAAAATGTACTTGATATGTTCTTAAAACTTCTTCCTAATAAGCCCCCAGATTGTCCTGTGATTTTGTAGAAAATCTATCAAAATATGATCCCTTTGGAATTCCAAAAAAACAGCCCCCATAACCTTCTGAGCTGACCTCTCTCTGCCTTCAGTTGAACTGGCCTAATAGATACCTTTGAAAGCCACTGTTTTGATTTAACCTTTTTCTTTGAAGGTTCCCTTAGGAAGCTAGTACAAGTGTATTACTGAGAGAACTTGTCTACAGCCTTGCACCGATCACAGAGACATGTCTCAACATGTTTTATTTGGTGTAAACGTGTGCATGTATGAACTAGAACCCTAGTAGCAGTACTTTTTTACTTATCCTGGTAACTGAACTGTGCTGTTGTTGTTGAGTTGGTTCCCACTCATAGTGACCCTAGGAGCAACTGACGGTTTTGAACTGCTGACGTCACAGCAGTCCAGTGTTTATCCTACAGCACCACACCAGAACTCCCTCGTACCTATAGCAAAACATAAATTTAATCTCACCCCTGTGAAGTTAACATACTATCCATTTACTAATGACCAAATGCTGTCTAATACTTCTGTCTATTCCTTTTACAAGTCTAAGTGTGATAAACCTGGCAAGTTCTGTTACCTTTCTGGGAAATAGAAGAGATCAGTCTTAAACTAGGGTTACTGCTGTTTCTTTATTATTGAAGCACTTTATTGTCCATTGTAAACTATCCTTTGATTGAGATACTTTTGTGAACGTAAGAATTAAGAGATAATCTTGAGGTGCATTTTAGAGATTATTGATTTGTACTGTAGTTAGTTGTTGTTGGGTGCCATTGAACCTGTTCCAACTTATATTGACCCTATGCACAACAGAATGAAACACTGTCTGGTCCTGCACCATCCTTTCAATTGTCATGTTTGAACCCACTGCTGCTGCCACTGTACTAATCCATCTCATTGGTGGGTCTTCCTCTTTTTGCTGACCCTCCACTTTACCAAGCACGATGTCCTTCTCTAGTGACTACTAGTTCCTCCTGATAACACGTCCTAAATCTGAGAAACAAAGTCTGGCCCTTCTGGCTTCCAAGGAGCATTCTGGTTGTGCTTCTTCCAACAAAGATTTGCTTGTCTTCTGGCAGTCCATGGCACTTTCCGTATTCTCCAATACCATAGTGCAAATGCATCAGTGCTTTAACGGTCTTCCTTATTCATTGTCCAACTTTCGCATGCATATGAGACAATTGAAAATCCTGGTGTAATACTGTAGTCTAATAGCACTATGAATTGTTATAACCAAAAGTGCAAATAGCCATTAAATGTTTATTCAGTGAATGTTTTTTCACCAAGACAATAATTTCATTCTGAGAATGGTGGAGGAGTTAGAATCAAATTTCTCAGCCTACTCAGTCTTTGAAGAAACTTTATTTGGACTGACTTTTTTATCAGAGTTTTGTTTTATTTTTTAATGTGTAAGATATGTGTAGGCTGTAGCTAAATTTTTGTATTTTCCCATTTTATGGAGAATAAAATAATGATAAAGTTTTATCTACCTTAAAAACATTCTCACACAATACTTACGTCCGGGATAAGGAGCGCTCAGAATTGGGTTAGCAATCTTGTCTTTGCTTTAATAGCAAAAGAGGCACTTGGTCAAATAAATGCTGCTGCTATGCATTTACATCATGTATGTACCATATTTTAGTTCCGCTCCCATGTGTTCAAATTTCTGGAGATTCAGCTATGAACAGAAGAGGAAACAGATGGTAAACAGATGTAATAATGTCAGGCAGTGATTTTTGATAGAAAAGACAGGAGAAGGGGAGAGTGATGAGCTGTTTTTAGTTTAGTAGAGAACTGTCAGATTCTTCATAATATAATTTACTTTTGTAAGCTGAAAGGATTTTTATTCCATATTAAATTTTGCATGGGGAAAATTTGAATAAATCATAAATAGGTGAATGGGTTGTGTGAAATTTTTCTGTGACTTGAACTTGAACTGCGTGTTTTGTTTAATTTAGTGACAAATTGTCTTGTTACTGCTCTGTAAACTGTTAATAGTGAAAAAAGCCAGTTGTCAGTTTAAAAATATTATTCTAATTTTATTTTTATAACTTACTATACAAGTTTTAGCATTTTAATATAGTCAAAATTATCCATCTTTTCTAATTAAACTTTAAGCTTTCACAAAAATCACATTGGAGGTTGGGGAAATGGAGTTATTCAGGTGCCTTGACTCAATCCAGGTGACGGATTAACTCGACTCTATCTTCTGTAGGCCCAAGAATCTACATTTTGAAAAGCATCCTGTGTGCTCCGCTGTAAAAATTCAGATTGAAGTTTGAGAAATATTATTTGATGGCTTACTCTAATTGTTAATATTTCTTTATAGGAAACCTGCCAAAAGTAGAGCTCATCTTATTACATGCAGTATTGACCGTGCATCTATTCTATGCCTTCGTGAATTACCTGAATGTATCTGTCATTTACCTTCACCACAGTTCTTCATACTATAGATTTAAACTTGGTCTTGTGTGTGTCCCAGGAATAATTAGATTTTATCTAAATCACATTAAAAAATAATCATGAGAAATACATGTAGAATCACAAGGTTTGAAGAAAGAGGTTAACATAGCAGGCCTGAGACTGTTATCCTTAGAAATGCCAGTTTGCAAGGTTAACCCTGGATTAGCATCTGGATTTCAAGAGGAATTCCCACCATTCTCTCATGATAGTGGCTCACTATGCCTAATTTTTTTATGCAGAAATATGGTTTATGCTGAAATGAACATCTACTTTTCCTTTTAGAAGTTTAGAATTTCAGAACTTGGTAAACAGAGGGTACCTATGTGATCAGCATCCAACGAAAAAACCTTGGGCACTTGTGTCTAGAGGCCTTGCCTGAGGAATTAAGCACGTCTTAATGGGACTCCACTGGAAGAGGACTTCTTGTGCCTGGTTTTCTCAGGACTTTGTCCCATGTACCTTCTTCTCCTTTTGCTGGTTTTACTTTGTGTCCTTTCACTGTAATAATTCATAATTGTGAATCTGACTACATACATAATGAGTCCTGTGAGTCTTCCTCATGAATTTCTGAACCTAGGGTAGTCTTGGGGTAGTCTGACATTTTTTCTTGGAGAATCATAAATGTCAGGTGAACAGGACACATTGGCCGATCTAACACATTGTTTTCCTGGTGGCAAATTAGATTACTGTATAAGTTGGTGATCCAGGAACCTGAAGAAAGTGTGGTAGTGGTGGTATGCCATGGAATTGGTTCAGACTTACAGCGGCCCTGCATAGAATTTCTGAGGCTATAAACCTTTACGGGAGCAGAACACCTCATCTTTCTCCCATGGAACAGCTGGTGGTTTCAAACTGCTGACCTTGAGGTTCACAGCCCAACTCATAAACACTGTGCTGCCAGAAAATACCATGGCTTAGATCAGATGCACTTTAGAATTATAGGCTCATGAATGTTGTTGTTAAGTGTGATCAAGTTGGTCTGACTCATAGCCACCCTCTGTAGGGTTTCTGAGGAGCATCTGGTGAGTTTGAACCACCGATCTTGCGGTTCAAACCGACTTTTCAGTCCAGCGCATTAACTGACAGCACAACACCAGCACTCATGGATAACTAGTTTAAATGAAAAGACTAGGATGCATAGATAACTTGTGTTAAGATTACACAATTAAAACTAGAAGTATAGCTTGTTTTCTGGAAGACTTATGGTACATGTAATCTCATTCTAACATTATAGGCAAGGAGAAGAAAAAATATGGACTACTTTGTTTGTAAAAGTCCAGGTTTTAATGCATCCAATAAGTTACTCTGAAGATAGAGTAACCTGTGATTTCCTACAATGTGTATACAAGTTTTCACTATGAAATCAAGACTCTTAATTAGTATAACAGAAAACTAGTGCTAGAAACAAGTTAGAGTGAATAGAATAAAAGAATTGTGAACCCACTTACTCTAAATGTAGTTTCTGTTTCATGTTCCATTTAAGTCAGCAGAGCAGATAATATAGCACTTTTCAAGCTTTTTGTCTCCTGACCTGTTTATACCTTTAAAAATTATTGAGATCCCTAAAGAGGTTTGTTTGTGTCTGTTATATCTTGTTTTTTGTGTAGGTTTTTTTTTTTTTTTTGGTTTTGTTTTGTTTTTTAACTATATTGGAAATTGAAACAGGATTTAAAAAAAAAAAGCTTAAAATCCGTTCATTACATGTGAACATAAATTTTTTTAATTGAAAAACTATTTCCTTTAGATTAGTATAGAGTGACACTCTGGTATTTTTTGCAAATCTCTTTAATATCCAGCTTAATAGAATATAGCTGGATTCACATATTTCTTTCTGCAAACAATCTTTTTTGTTTGAAGTATGATGAGGGGGTTTCAAAACTTAAATTATTACATATACTTGAGTGTTTTTGTGTACACCCCCCCCCCAAAAAAAGGGAATAGAAGCAAATACTGTTGAATTATGGTGCACAGAAGAGATTGTTAGCATTACAATGAAACGATGCGTGTAAAACTGATGCTCTCCCATGTAAACTATCACTCAAATCACAATAAAAACTTTAAAAAGTTCATGGGAAAATCCTGTTATCTTTTGATTCCATACTCCTTGAACTTTTTGAAGTGTCACTTTGTACATGAAAAAATACAGAAAATCTCTTTACATACATTTAAAATTAACTTTTTATTTTTATATAGAGAAGCAGAGAGGCATTAAATTATATTTTTTAGTCAGTTGGTGTAAAAATTGTTTAAAGCTTTAGTCCATTTAACAATCTAAACAAAAGTTTATTAATTCAGAGCTTTATATTCTCAAGCACTTTTGTATCAATAATTGCTTACAGCTGCCTAGGCCACAAACATTTAAGGACATGTGTATTTCTTTTCCTGAAAGGGGATAAAAGAAGAAAATAACCTAGATCAAGGAAATCAACTAGTTATTCTTGAGAACCTTACAGAGGAATTTAATTGCCCTGGAATCTTTTCATTCCATTTTTCCATGAACATTTTGAAGCCCCTTGTACATTAACTCTTGAGGAATATTTTGATGTGTCAAGCGATTGCTCTGTGTGTATGTAGTACTTCAAAATGAGTAGTTAAATAAACTGTTAACTATCATCCACTTAAAACCAAACCCACTGCCATCAAGTTGATTCTGACTCATAGTCATCCCAAAGGACAGAGTAGAACTGCTCCGTAAGATTGCCGAGACTCAGTTTTATGGAAACAGACTGCCACATCTTCCCCCCACAGAATAGCTGGTGGGCTCAAACTGCCAACCTTGAGATTTGTAACCCAATGTTTTACCCACTGCCACCTGTGTCCACTTACTGCCTTTTCTCTATATTTTAGTAACACTTCCTTTAGTGGATTTTTACATAAAATTAACTTTTTTATTACTAATGTCAGTTACCTGAAGACTCTATCTGATTTTTTAAAATATTGGTTTCCATTAACTTGAGAAGCAAATTACTTGACGCTTGCTAAGTAAGTGACACAATAATGTTTCTAATTTGTACATTTGTTGCTATTATGTTGTTGTTTACTGTAGAGACCTTATGACTAGGATTTAAGTACTATAAATAGGTTTCTTACATTAGGATTTTTATTATTAGTTCTTTTCCTATGTGATTTAGACCAGCTGTTTGAAGATTTTAATTCTAGTGTGATCATTCCAAGACATTTTTATAGCAACTTTTTGTTGTGGAACTCTTATTAAATAGGTGATCCTGTAATACTGTGACTTAACCTTTTTCATTTACATATTAAATACCTTTTAAAAGCACTAGACTATAAGGTAGGTTTGAACCTCAAGATCGACAGTTCAAATCCACCAGCTGCTCCTGAGAAACCCATGTATAGGATCTCTATGAGTCAGAATCAACTCAATAGCACTTATTAGCTACAACTTATCCAGTATGCTTTTATAACATTCTTTTGTTTTAAGTGCCGTCGAGTGGACTGTATTCTTAGAGTTCCTGTGTGGGGTTCCTGAGGCTGTAAATCTTTGTGGGAGCAGAAAGTTTTGTCTTTTCTCCTGCGGAGCAGCTTATGAACTCTAACTGCCCACCTTGTGGTTTGCAGTCAAGTGCTTATCCTACAGAGCCACCGTTCTCATAACATTCTTGGCTGTGTGCTGTGGAGTCAGTTCTGACTCATAGCAACCCTGTACAGGGTTTCCAAGGCTGTAAACCTTTACAGGAGCAGAAACTACTGCAGAATAGCTGGTAGTTTCGAACTGCTGACCTTGCGGTTCACATCCTGATTCGCAACCACTATGCTACCAGAGCTCCTTCATACATTCTTAATGACAGTTTAATATAGGATTCTGAGTTTATGCTTTTATTTTTTTTTTCTAGCTATTCAGTGAAGTCCTGGTGTGGCGTTATGGGTTAACACACTAGACTGCAGCAAAGTTGGTTTGATTCACAAGGTCGGCAATTCAAGCTCACTAGCTGCAACAAATGTGTATAACTACAAGTACAAGGATGCTTGCTTTTAAAAGAAAAAAATCAGAAACTATAAATACCCACTGAATGTTGTTGTTAAGTGCCATTGAGTTGGTACCAACCTATAGTGACCCTGCATAGGGTTTCTCAGGAGTGGCTGGTGAGCTTGAACCAACCACTTTGCGGTTCAAACTGACTTTGCAGACTAGCACCACAGCACCACACCATAAAATAATTACATGTTTAGATATTATTTAATGTATAATATAAATGTCTAAAAGTGGAGTTGTTTGGTCCAGTAGTGTAACTAGGTATCAAAATATAGCCAAAACCAAAACCGTCTGCTAAGTCCAGATCATAGTCACTCCGCATGTGTCAGAGTAGAATTACACTCCATAGGGTTTTCAGTGTCTTGTTACCTTTAGGAAATAGATCACCTTGTCTTTTTTCTGAGGAGCTCTGGATGGATTCAAACGACCAATCTTTTTTCCATGTGGTTAAATTTAAGGTCAATCAGAATAATCATGGTGTGGTGTTGTAGGTTAAGCATTAAACTGCAATGTTGGTTTGAACTGAAAGGTCAGTGGTTCAAATCCACCAAGCTGCTCCTTGGAAACCCTATGCAGGGTCATATGGGTTGGCACCAACTTGATGGCACTTAACAAGAATATCTTCCTCCTCAAGATTCTTAACTTAGTCATCTTTATTTTGCCATAAAGGGTAATATTGACTCTTATTGTATACTGTAACATAAAAACTGAGAGTAAATAGAATAAGAAATGTTGTTTGTTGTTAGTGCCTTCGAGTCGGGTCTGACCCATAGCGACCCTTGTACAGGTGTTCTGAGGAGCATCTGATGGGTTTGAACTCCCAGTCTTTTGATTAGCAGTCCAGTGCCACACCAGGACTTTTGTTGTTGTTGTTGTTAAGTGCCTTCGAGTCGGGTCCAACCCATAGCGACCCTGTACAGGGTTTCCGAGGGTGTAAATCCTTACGGGAGTAGAAAGCCTCATCTTTCTCCCGCAGAGCGGCTGGTAGTTTCGAACCACTGACCTTAAGGTTCGCAGCCCGATTCGTAATACCAAAGTTAAATAAAAGAAAATAGATATCGCAGTTTTTGCATCAGCTTTCAAGGCCAAAAAAAGCATTATTAAGGATGCAAAGGGGTTGTTACATCATAAAATTGATTGGAAGTCTATAAAAATCTCATATAACTACATTGGAAAACATTTGTTTCAAAATATATAATGCAAAGACTTAGACCCACTGGGGAATTGACAGCCCACCAGTACAGAAAAATTCACACTGCTCAGAAGAATGTAAACCAACCAAAAAATTAAGTATATAGTAGATTTGAACAATAGTTTTGACCTAATGGAATTGTAAAATTTTATACATACCAATTATTAGAAAATGTATGTGTTTCTCAAACATTCATAGCATGAACATTTAGGAAGGTGAACAGTATACCATGCCATAAAGCAAGTCTTAAAAAATGCCAAGAGTAGTAGTATATAGCCCATGTTCTCTAATCACTGTGTATTTAACTTAGAAATAGATAATTTTAGAATACATGCCAGAACTTTTCTTCCTTTTTCTTCTGTTCTTCCCTTTAGGACTTGCATTCCCCTAACCAAACAATTACTTTAACCCTTGCTCAGGTTCTGTTCTCTGTCCTTGTGCCATTAATAGGCCTATTTACAATAATAACAGGGAAGTGGAAATCCTTTCCTTTTATTCTAAACTATTCTAAGGTTGCCCTTTAGTTAAGTCTTTATATGAATTTTAGGGATCTGGTTTTGATTGAGTTTACAAATTATATTAAGTCTTTCCTTTGATAGATTATATCATTTACTGTTTGCATATCTATATCAATCCCAGTTCTTACCTCTTTATCTCCCATGGTTTTGTGCTTCTCTTCTGTTATGTTGTCGTGTTAAGTGCCACTGAGTTGATTCCGACTCATAGGGACCCTGTATAGGGTTTCCAAGGAGCAGCTGGTGGGTTTGAACCTTGCGGTTCAAGCCGACTTTGTGGTCCGTTGCATTATCCTGCAACACCCATAGGCCTGGAAATAAACAAGTTGTTAGTTTACTATACATACCAAGTAAAAGAGAATCTTCTGACAGGTTGGTGAGGAGATTTCTGTTCTTGTTACTGTCTAATTTTCTTCCTGGTTCTGAATGCTTTCTTATTAGGCAAGGTTACCAGATATATGAGATACTAATGGACTTGAATTTAGTCACTACATTTAACTTGCCAGTGTTTACACATAAATTCTGTGCTTTAGGGGCCTCTTACTCAGTGTGGCACTGTAGGATACGCAGTGGACTAAGAGGTTAGTTTGAACTGCAACATCAGTAGTTCAAACTCACTAACCTCTCCTAAGAAACCCTATACAGGGTCGCTGTGAGTCAGAAACAATGGCATTAAACAATAGTTCTTGACTTATTAACTGGTGCAGTGGGCTAATGCATCAGACTGCAAAGTTGTTTGAATTGCAAGCTCACCAGCTGCTCCTTGGAAACCCTATAGGGACGCTATGGGTCAGAATCGACTTAACGGCACATAACAACAACAACAACTTAGAATGAAGAAGTTGAAGGTTGGATTAGAATTAGTAGAAGAATGTGTTTAGTTCATTGAAAATGAGCAATATGTGACTTTTTATATATTGACTCTTTTTAGATTTATAAATAATA